TCTGTAAGGCCTTTGACATGGTCCTCCACAACATCCTTCTCTCTAAATTGGAGAGAGATGGATTTGATGGATGGACTATTTGGTGGATGACGAATTGGTTGGAAAAGGTCCTGCACCAGGATTGGAGCAACCCCCAGTATCAATACAGACTGGGGGGGGAAGGGATTGAGAGCAGCCCTGCTGAGAAGGACTTGGGGGTACTGGTGCATGAAAAGCTGGACATGAGCCAGCAATGTGCCCTTGCAGCCCAGAAGGCCGATCGTACCCTGGGCTGCATCAAAAGAAGTGTGGCCAGCAGGTCGAGGGAGGTGATTCTGCCCCTCTACTCTGCTCTGGTGAGACCGCACCTGGAGTACTGTGTCCAGCTCTGGAGCCCTCAGCATAAGAAAGACTCGGACCTGTTGGAGCGGGTCCCGAAGAGGGCCACGAAAATGATCAGGGGGATGGAACACCTCTGCTATGAAGAAAGGCTGAGAGAGTTGGGGTTGTTCAGCCTGGAGAGGAGAAGGCTTTGGGGAGATCTTATTGCAGCCTATCAGTACTTCAAGGGGGCTTATAAAAAAGATGACAGCAAACATTTTAGCAGGGCCTGTTGTGACAGGACAAGGGGGAATGGTTTTAAACTAAAAGAGGGGGACCTGCTGGAGCGGGTCCAGAGGAGGGCCACAAAAATGATCAGGGGGCTGGAACACCTCTCCTCTGAAGAAAGGCTGAGAGAGTTGGGGTTGTTCAGCCTGGAGGAGAGGAGGCTTCGTGGAGATCTTATTGTGGCATTTCAATACTTATAAGTATTGAAATAAGGGGCTTATAAGAAAGATGGGGACAGACTTTTTAGTAGAGCTGTAGCAACTTCCAACCCAAACTATTCTATGATTTAACTAAAATATACTCTTAAATTACATTCTACTTCATTATAATTGGATTCCACTGTCGTCCTATACAGAACTTGACCCAAGCCACAAGAGTCATCAGTTAGTAGGAATGCATCATTCTTCTTGCTTAGAAAGAAGTACTAGGTTTAATATTAAAGATTTATTTTGTTGCAAACCAGAAAGTTTTAATAGTAACTGATCAATAAGAATCAACATTTGTTTAGGAAAAGAACTAAAGTTCAAAATACAAGACAAGATTGTAATTGAGTAACTGCAAACATTAAGGTCCCCTGTTTGCTAATTTAAATCATAGTTAAAAATCAATCAGGTAGCCAAATCAGTTATTTAAATTAGTCCATCCTAAGTAGGCCATCACTATTAGATTTATGACACTGAGAGGAAAAAAGAAATCAGCATAATAAATGTACTGCATTAACACCACCATTAATATACAAACACAAAAGCTGTTAATGATACAGGGAAAAAAAAATCAGAAGATGTAATAAAATAGACTTTCTTGAGAAGGAGGAAGAAAAACCAGAAAAAACTCAGCATAAAAAGAACTGCCAAAAGAATTCATAAAATGAACAGAAAAGACTCCCAAAATCTCTCTCTGTTCATAAGTTCTTTTAGCGATCATAGTGATCCAGATCTGGACAGTGATCAATCATCACTGGTTTCATTAGAAGAAACGAAAAGTGATTTCTTTAGGACTACTTACAATATATTTTATAGGTACAAATAAACATAGAATGATATCACTCTAACATAAGTACACATGAAGGCAACAGAATATTTTAAAGTGGAATAATCAGCTATTCACTGCATTATAAAAAAAAAAAAAAAGAAAGGTTATTTGCAAGAGTATCCCCCCAAAAAGATTAAAGGAGTTCTTTGGAATCTTTAGATCCAAACCTGATGTAGAAAGTCTGGTTTTGTGTGCAAAACTCTACAAAAAGGTGACAGAATAATTGGCTAGAAGCTCAGACTCTTTACTAAGCAAGTTGGAGATGCATTTAGAAGACAGCCACCACCAGACGGAGCAATTGCATTCAATTGGTGTTCTGTCAAGGGAAGAGGAGGCAGAAGATGAGCAAAAATATGACAAATGCTGATATGATGACTAGTGATAATGCAAAATAAAGCTACCAGAAAGATTGGACTGTAAAAATAAAAATAGTGAGGAGAAACTTGTAACTTGAACAGATATGATTTTCCAAAAATAAATTTCATTTTGCTGCTGAGGAAGAGATTCCCTGCAAACACTGTCTCTCTATTTGAAGAAGGGTATTTTTAAATCTTTGTATATGTGTGTGTGGTTTTTTTGTATTAATGGATTTAGACCCTACTGATCCCCATCCAAGCAGAAATAATTCTAGGTCCTCCCCACTGCAAAAATAGGGTCTTTGACATCAGATGTGTTTTAAAGGCTTGAAAATAATTTCAATAGGGAATTACTATATTATGCAAATGCTCTGATAAATTTGGGACAGCTAGAGGGAATGGTTAGAGCAGCTGCTAGGTACAAAAAGGTTTTACTTTCCTAGGCAGTGTGCCACTGAGATGTGTCTCAGAGCCACACAGTGTCTCCTCTGGCTCAGTACTATAAATATAGTTATAATCTAGCCCATAAAACATATTGTCCCGCATTGTATTTAAATGAAACACCAGACTTGAGAAGAAATAAAGATTTCTGTGAAAAATATTAAACCCTTTTTTCTTTTTGAGAGCGAGAGGGAGAAAACTACACTAAGAAAACACTGGCATTCTTGGGCTGACCTTTCTCTTAGCCCTCACTTTTCCAATTTTCAGAACTTCTAAATGCTTCAGAAATGCTTTTGCCTTTGATGCTTTTGTCCCCACAGTACCCTTGCAGGCGAGGCAAGATCAATTACCTCTTTTTGGAGATGACCTGCAAATGGTGACTCAGGTGCATGTTCTGCTTGGTAAAGAAACTTGCGTTAAATACGAGTTAGCTCAGATACCAGACCCAGTATGAGCATATTAGCATGAGATTCTGCCTGGGTTAATTCCCCTCCTTCTCTGATTTTCCTTACTATAGTTAATTGTCCTAACTATATATAGTTAATTCTTCCTAACTACAGTGTCCACTGATGTGCTTCTATCTCTTCAATGCATAACCTTCCTTATGAACGGCTAACTTCAACATTACAGCTGATTTATATTACATTAACATAACATTAATATCCATCCAAAGCCACTCACACAAAGTCTGGAAGAGGGTAAGCAACTGAACCTAGATTTTCAGAGCCGAGAATTCCTGCCTTTCTGTTCTCTCCTACGAAGTTGTTTTGAGAAACAGCACGAACAATTATCTTCCCTCCTGCTGCCTGTACGGGAGAGCCTCTAACACTGTTCTGAGAAGAATGGGTGCAAGCCAACACAACAGACCTCATGAAAAAAAAATTCTTTACATCAGGAAGAGCTGGACTAGGCTTGCAGTCCCTTTAGAAGAGGAATCCTAGCAGTCTGAGGCACACAGAGATGTCTGGGTGACTAGTCAGCATGCTGAGATACGCAGTGCACATTAATCAGGGTCCCCCATCATTGTTTTTTTAATGAAGTCATAAACAAAACCCACCCACCACCACCCAGACCACAAGAAGTTAATCTCGGTACTCCTGTTTATTCTGGAAGGATTAGCTAGATCACAGATTATTTCATATGCTTCTTGGATACGTTGTTGAAAAGAAAAGAATACCCAATCAGCTGTCACTGGTTTCTCATCAGTAAATTTTTGACAGAAGCAAAAGTATAGTTTTCAGTTTGAGGAAGTAGAAGTGTCTGTAATTTATGAAGCAATCATGGTTACTGTATTTAATATGTAATTTTTACATACCCTATTAAAGCCTGCATTAAGAAGGGGAAGAACAGAAGTCTCTTCTTGGTCAGTAGATCTACAAAACAAAATGTATGGTCACACAACTTTTAAGAATTAGATGGTATCAATTTGACATAATTACCTAAACATAATGAATGCAGTGAAAACACTCTTGCATAAAATGCATACATAAGATCATACTATTACAGGAGTTGATGCTATAGTCTTCTTTTACACATATTTGCAGATATTACTACAACCTGATAGTTATTCCTACAGCAAACCTGACAACATTTTAAAGAAGTCCTGTGTCTCTTCACAGACACACAAGGGTATTACAGAAAGAAAGTATGAAGAGGATAAAAGACATCCTGTGATATCCTATGAGAAAGGATCTAGAAAAATGTTATTAAGTAAAAGGTGAAGCAAGTTGTAAAGTCTTTCTCAGCAACAAACTTAGTCTATTTTCTAATCTTGGCAGGAATAGTTCTTCTCCTGCCACTCTATTTCCTAATATTTTAATTGAGCTAGGAAATGAATAAACTTAGAATGGATTCAGTAGTGTGCAGGAGTTTTAACAAAGACAGGAAAGGTCTCTTTTTCGAAGGTATTTGATAAACAATGTATTTAAGTCAGTAAGAATTCTGCCTGAAAACATAGGGTACGAGTTAGTGAATAAGGATTTCAGGACAACATTCTGGTGAGTTTAGTACCAGCGGGATTGAAGTGTACTCCATTACCCAGTTCCCTAATAACCATAGTGTGTTATTTGATCTAGTTATTTCTTTTAGCAAGTAATACACAGCTTTCTATTTCTTTTTCTTTTAGAAACCAACACATAGCTTTCTATTTTTTCTTAGTATTCAAGCCATTACATTATGATCCTCTGAAGGTGATAGGGTTAGTACTAGTCTATATAAATGGAAAGTTATTGAATACTTAAATAGGCCAGATAAAACATCACTAACCCATTTCAGGTAAAATAATATTAAACATAGTCTATGAGACTTGCTAGTAAGATACTTTCTGTTATTAGATAACTATTATACATAACATTCTTATAAAGTAAAATAAAAATATTTCACAAAATAGTAATACTTACGTGCGTGGAACCACAGCAAGTATTACAGTGTGTTCTGATGGTTTTGTGGCACGAATAGTCCTGAGAAAACAAAAATTTCTCAGTTACACCACATGCTTTCTCAACGTTACTCTGAGTATCTTCACAGACAATATAAATGAAAACCAGGACTGAAAGACACCATTGAGGCTAGAAAATAGGATATCACACTGCCAAAACCTACCTATCCCCACTTAGACAATCCATTTCCATTTTGCTACCAGATTCCTCAGATTTTGCTTAACGCAGTGAAGAGGCAAGAGCTCCAAAAACACAGGGCATGGACAGCAGCTCTTCAAATCCACTCTTATAGCCTAGCAAAGGTTTGCCCTGTTTACTTAGCTTATTTGGGGCAGACTGCCCTGAATGCATGGGTTGAGAAAGGTCAGTCTATACAATGCATTTTCAATACCCATTAGCTAACTTAGACAAAAATCTCCACCACCTTTTCTCATATTTACCATTGTCCTTCTAGATATTGTAAAATTTTCTTTAGAGGGTGGGAAGTGCTTTTGAGGCATGCAAGTAAGAAAAGAGGGTATAGCAAATGTATATGATAGACTATCATTTATGAAATGCTGAGTAAGCAAAATTTTACCGCCTTACATATTATTGAGAAACCAAAAAAAATATGACCAACTATCAGAAGAACATTCCATTCACCTTTTGTGGACTAAAGATAACTTTTTTCAATCATGTCACACTGTCCTGAATAAACAGACTTTGTATTTATTTGTTGGTCTTTTAGAAGAATTTCCATCAACACAAGTATTTGAGCTTTAAAATGCTCCTTGTCATAAACATAACAAATTTCAGCTCATGATGGACTGAGAAGCACAGTATGGTGTATGGTACAAAATGTATGCTTCAGCTGAAACAGTGTATTTTAGCAAAGAATCCCAATACTAAGTGCTTGCAACCTTAGAGCTGCTAAGACAGAGTCATATGGACCAAAAGAGCGATGTGAACTTTTGTGGAGAGCTGGCAGTGCCTGACCCAGTGGACAAACACGCACATTCCTTTGAAGCCCTGCAGCTTCAGGCTTTGCTGCAGCAGACTTTGCTGCTTCTCCCAGGGAAGAAGCAGGCACAGAGAGCAAGGAATAATTTCACAACAGCTCTGGCTTATGCTCTGATAGAAGACCATGACCTAAAGAGAGAGTTCTACAATTCAACTTTGCCAAAAGTATATTTTTCATATAGTTCTCCTCTTATAGATGTATGCAGACCTCTTGGCCTCAATCCCCAAACTTCCATTTTACTATAGTTTTGGGGATTCCCCCCTGTCCCCCCCCCCTTTTTGTTTTTAAAATTAGAAGGTTTGGTTTTGTACAATATATTCTGAAGTTCAAGAGAAGCATAAGGTCCTTTAGGTTACCTGCAGATATCTTCTGCATCAAAATATCTGGAGTTCCTGTGATCTATAACAATTATTTCCTGGTGCTTATCAAGAAAACATTCAAGCGCTGACTCTGGAGTCCGGGCAATATTGCACCTGTATCCAGCTCTGTCACAAGCCCACCAGAAACCATCACTTTGGTTGTCTTCTTTTGCAAAGATCAGCAAAACCTGCAAAGCATGCAAAACAGTGTCAATACATTAAATATACAAAATAATTCTCTGCATGGTGCAAATCTTAACAAACACTTCTGCTATATGAAAGACTGAGTCTACTTTGAAAGTGGGAAGATTGAACTACAGACGGTAAAACAGCTGATGCAGTAGCACAACTTTCCTAATAGATAGAGTGATTATCAACAGATAGTCAACAGTTAACTGCGTAGGACTGATATTTAGGACAAAACCAGCTGCCAGATGATGAGTCTCTTCTAACTCATGTTCAAATTCAATCAGCAGCCACCCAGAGTAGGTGGGTAGGTGGTCAGACATCATTGGTACCCTCATCAGGCCATCCTAGCTGCACACACTTTTAATTGTAATGAACTGTCTGAAATGCAACTGCCTTAATTATTGCTCTTCAGGGACAAACAATTAACATAACACAGTTTTATTCATTATTTCTCCTTTGATGTACAGCAAAAGGGAGTTAACCCATATCCTTTCAAAACTGAAAGGAACAACAGACAAACAAGTATGGGCAGGGCTGGATAGGGGAAAAAAAACTGATTCAAACATCACAATTTTTACCCAATAAATTGTCCCTAATTATTTAAATATATAAGGTAGTTTCGACAACTTCAACTGAACACTTAAGGAACTGCTCACACAAGAGCAGGTAGGATTAGGCGCTGTTCTAAAAATCAAATTCATGCTGTAGGAAGTCTGTTTGCTAGCTGACACACAGAATATAGGCTGAAAACAGCTGTATTT